TTGTTAGGAGAAATTAGATGTTAGTCACTCTTAGGGGTTAAAGGGTTATCTGTGACACTGCTCAGTTTAATTGTCTTTTCCAATTTCATGTCAGCATGTTGTGTCTGCAGCAAAAAACGAATGTGACTGACAGAAGATAACAGTCATTTAGTAACATAAATTAACTAAGTCTAAAAACAATTGTTAAATGTACCCTTGAAATTCGCATACCTGCTGTGAAACTCTATTATGTGTGACAGTCCAGCGCATATATTGATCTACTTAGGGTAATACTGTACCATAGTAGGTTATTCTAATCTAACTGGCAGCCAATTTCTTTGTATAAGAAGAATTTTAATTTTTCAGGCTGAATGTGTTCTTATGTATATTGTACTTTTTTGACTAAACTTCAGCCTACTGAGTGTTCTTAGTCCACTTGTTCTTTTGTGCAGGTTTTTACTGTATCATACCCAAACCCACCAATACAAGTTGCTTGTTTGTTTGTTGTTTTAATTTTTTAATTAAGAACATGGTGAAGAACCTAGGTAGCCTATTTTCACAGGAAACACCATCTATATTGGAACCTATGGAGGCTAACTTGGAAAAACCTAGGACCATGTATCCAGGTTTTTCTGTAGCTAGCCTTAGATCCTTTGGTTCCATTTGGCTCCAAACTTTTGAAGGGGATATGATAATGTATTTGTTCACTTCCTTTTCTTACTCTGCTGAGTCATTATGAAAACCTGCACTTAGAATTAATTTGACCAAGTATAGCTATAATTTTAGAAAATGAGTGATAATTGAAACAAGTTCCTTGAATCTCTTCTCCTTGTGTGGATTAAGAGATCTACAGGTGTAGGCTGCTCAAGTCACATTTAATTTATCTTTTCTGACAAATTGCTAAAGGCCTGGTACTAATGAGCATTTTTCAATCTTTGGGGATCCTTAAAAAAAGCAAAGGAATTCACTCATGGGAGTATGAATGAGATGTCATGCATATCTGCAGGTGTAGAAATTTCTTTTGCTGTTGTGTCTGACTGACATGGTTTAAACAGCTTGCCAGTAGGCATCTTGGTCTATTTTGTAATCCCCCCACAAAACAGAATATTAGTCAGAAGCATGAATTATAGTTCTGTTCAGTGTTTTAAAGGAACATGATGTCACTTACAGTGTAAAAGTACCAAAGTACTTGCAATAATTAATAGGACTTTGAAACCTTGCATAATCTGGCATTCCATCCAGGGGGGAGTGGTAATACTCCTAGTTGCCTCATGCAATAGAAACCTGGATAAGCTCTTGCTGGATGGCTATATAATTAGCTTGAGTGTAGACTTTACCTTTAAACCTGCCAAATGCATAGTCACTCTTCAAGGTAGTGATCCCTGCTTTTCTGGGCATTAAGTGCATTCCAAGCAGGGGCAGAATGTATTGCATGGCTCAGCCCAGTTTTAAAACTCACATCTTAATTCAATTAACAGAACTCTCTCCTAACTGCCTTAAAACTTAATAAGAAACAATTTTATTATTAAAATGAAATGCATCTCAATTCAAGAGTCATAAATACTGGTGCATAAAGAAGCTTTCTGCCAAACGCAGTTAGGTTAACCTTATGTGGTCTTAATTGCAAGTAATTTCACTTGCATCTTGAAATCTACCATGTACCATTTTGGGACATGGTGGATAGCCAATAGCTGAATCATCATTTCATATTCATCAAACTCAAGTGTACTTTATAGGTTCACTGTCTTCTTTATATGTATCTATATAAATTCTAGAAGAGTAATTAAGATGATTTTGTTTTTTTAACTCTTCAGAAATCCCAAACAGTCATATATAACTTTTTCGTAATCGGGTGCCAGGTGAAGTCCTCAAAAGGTAATGTTAAATGTACATGTAATGTGACATGAGACTTTTCTCAATGATGATGATGTTGATGATGATAGTGATAAAGATGCCTAGGACAACAGGAACATGAATTAGTCCTTGTCTGATCATGAAAAAAACTTGTTATTGCTTTGATGTAGACTATATTTCAATAAATGCTAGTTGAGGAAAAAGGATTCTTAATTCTAGGTGTTGTCTTTTAGTTGGTTTTGATCATTCCATTGGAAATGATCACAACTACATGTAGGGCTTGAGATGTAGATCTATGTTAATGTTTGGAAAATTTTGTGCTGGTGGAGAAAGAACTTAGAAAGAAGCTGCCGTAGTGGTATCAAATTCTCTGTATATTTCCAGTGGTGCTGACAAGGAGAATTGGTTTACCAATCTGTTAGCAGCTTCTGAAATTGGTGATCATCTCCTTTATTTTCACGACCTTCACATTTGATTCAAGGGTGATTCTGTAAGGAGAAATTAGATGCCAGTCACCCATAGTGGTCAAATGGTAAAGGATTTTTAATTTCCCGGTAACCAATTACAGGGAAAGTACAATGTAAAATCTGTCTCTTAATACTTTGCTCAAATATGTAGAAAAGAGTCCATTAAAGAGGGTTGTCTGAAATGTATTAGATGTAGCAATCAAATACATATCATGACTGTTGGGTTGTGAACATTTATTTGGTTGTATAGATTTGGGATGAAAAACGATGTCAAAATGTCACGGATGGTGGTTATGAATGAAGAGTATCATCGTTTTTATGTTATTGTAACTAAAAATTGTTATCAGTGTTATCATAATTGTTGGTTTTATTATCATTATGTCATGCACATTTTTTTTAGCAGCTTTCTGATATTGACCAAAAATTCCTTAGCGGTTTAATCATTCTTTTATTTTTTTTTTTCATGGTCCACAAAGAACGTGGAATTATCTCTTTTGCCCCACGGGTACCTTTTGAGGATTAGTCCGTAGTACTCTTGAACAACATGTCAGCTTCCGCACCGTCGCCCTTAGCCAGCTCCCTAGAGAAGACAAATGGATCCAAGTTGAGCAGACTTCTCATCGATGGTGGAACAACAGTATTGAGGACCATCTTTGATGGCTATCACCCACCGGCAAAGCTGTCTGCTGGACTGACCGCCCACTCTTGCATCCTGAATGCTCTTCTTAAGAAAAGGGTTCTGCGTGCAGCTCAGTGGGACAAACTATTCCCACCTGGCGGAGCAGCACCAGACTCTAAGACGTTTGATATCACTCTCCTATTTCTCCTTCTCACCAACATTTGCGGGCTATCCCCTCCTCCTCTCTCAGGGTGGCATGCAAAGCCATCTCCAGGTGATAACTCTTTGGAAGCAAATCTCGCTCGTGTGAAGTTCTTCCGCAATGAGTTGTACGGTCACGTTTCTAGCACTGGCATTGACACGCCCACTTTCTCCTCACTATGGAAAGAAATTAGCGCTGTTCTTGTTGCTCTTGGGCTCGATCAAACAGAAATCGATAAACTGAAAGATGAAAAGTGTGGCGCGGAAGATTATCTTGACGTTTTACTTGAATGGGCTAAAAGTGAAGAAGAACTCAAATCTCATTTGGCCGACCTGCGTGGATCTCACGGCGCAACACAGCGTAGCATTAACGAGGTACGTGATACCCAACTAGAAGATCACAAAACGCTTCAAGATAGCAAGTCAATGCTACGAGAAGTGCATCGATCTCAGAGCACAACACAGCGTAGTATTGAAGATGTACGTCAAACCCAACTAGAAGATCACAAAATGCTTCAAGATAGCAAGTCAGTGCTAGGAGAAGTGCATCAGACCCAGACGAAAATACAAAGCACCATTCAGGGCGCAGCTAGAAGCCAGGACGAGCGTTTTGAAAGTTTGCAAACAGGTCTACAGGAAGTGAAGCTAGCCGTTGGAGAATTGAACAGAGGAAGAAACTCAGGCAGCCAAGGAGATGAGGTCCTGAGGAACCTCGTTAAGTCTGAATTCAAAGGAGACATCGAGTTTCACGTCCAACGTTTTCAAGAAGACACCCGTGGGTGGGTGTTTAGCAAAGTCGAAAACTGGTTAGACGACAGAAACTCTCAAAACCGGGTGATGGTTATATGCGGAAACGCAGGAATGGGGAAATCTGTCATTTCTGCCGCTGTTTGCAAGAAAATGCAAGTGGCTGGCCGTCTATGTGGAAGTCACTTCATTCAACATAACAACGTCCGTTACCGGAAGCCTCAGTTAATGCTTCAATCCTTGGCCTGTCATATGTGCCATGCTCTGCCAGTGTTTAAGCTAGCTCTCGTGGAACAGTTGACAAGAAACACGGGTAAGGATCTCAACGATATGGGAGTTGAGGAATTATTCGCCCTTCTCTTTAAAGAGCCTCTCAGCAGCGTAGAGGACCCTGGAAGGAACATGCTAATAGTTATAGATGGCCTGGATGAAAGTGACTATCACGATCGCAATGAGTTACTAGAGGTCATTGTC